TTTCCTTAAACTTTCAATTAAAATTGCCATTTCTAAGAACATATTGATGATGTTAAGTAAGGACTTGTCCTACAAACAACTCTATGCCCATAAATTCAACAGCTTAGATAAAACAGACCAATTCTTAAAATACACAAGCTAGAGCTACCCAAACTCTCTCACACAAACACGAAACCCATATAGTTCTACAACTATTAAAGAAATTGAATTTGTAGTTAAAAACTTTCAATAAAGAAAACTCCCTGCTCATATATTTTACTGCAAAATTCTAGGAAACATTTAAGAAAGAAGCAATCACAATTCTATACAATCTTTTTCTGAATATATAAGAGAAGGAAATACTTCCCATGAGTCCTATGAAGCTAGCATTACCCTAATGCCAAAACCAGATAACAACATTATAATGAAAGAAGAAAAAAGACCAGGCTGGGTGCAGTAGGTCCTGCCTATAATTCTGGTGTTTTGGGAGGCTGAGGCAGGCAGATCACTTGAGGCCCATAGTTTGAGACCAGTCTGGCCAACATGGTGAAACCTTCCCTACTAAAAATACAAAAATTAGCTGAGTTTGGTGGTGCATGCCTATAGTCCCAGCTACTTGGGAGGCTGAAGCAGAAGAATTGCTTGAGCCTAGGAGGTGGAGATTGTACTGAGCTGAGATCATACCATGGCACTCCAGCCTGGGTGACAGAGTGAGACTCTTTTTCCAGAAAAAAAGAAAAAGAAACACCAATATCTCCCACAAACATAGACACAAAATTCTCAACAAATTATTAGAAAATCGGGTCTAGAAATTAAAAAAAAAAGGAAAATACAGAATAATTAAGTGGAACTTATACCAATAATGCAAGGTTGGTTCAATTTGTGAAAACTCAACCAATGTAATTTACCAATTAGCAAACTAAAGAAAAAAAACATGATTATCTTAATAGCATTTGACAAATTCAAATCTCTTTCCGATAAAAACTCTCAGCAGACTAGGAATGAAATGAAATTGCCTGGATATAATAAAGGACAACTATAAAAACCTATGATTGACATCATACTTAACAGAAAGAAGATAAGGACATCCTTCTTTCACCACTGCTATTCAATAATACAAAAGTCTTAGCCAGTGCAATGAGTCAAGAAAAATAGTCATTCAGATTGAAAGGGGAAAAAAATTCTACTTTCAGATGACAGAATTGTTTATGTAAAAAAATCCTAAATAATACACACACAAAAAAGGCCTAAAGCTAGTCCTAAAACTAGTAAAGGAGTCTAGCAAAGTCATAGGATAAGAGATCAAAATACACAAATGTCAATTATATTTCTATATACTAGCAACAAACAATGGATTTTGAAATTTTTAAAAAACTATTAACAAAAAATTGAAAACTTAGATACAAATCTAACAAAAATATATGTTATCTATATGTTGAAAACTATAAGACACTAAAGAAATAAAAGAAGACCTTAACTATGTGGAGAGATACATTATCTTGGTTTGGATGAAAAATTATATGGTCACATTATCTACACAGATAATAAAAGACACTTTTTTTGTGTACTCCCAGTGCTTATTTATACAAATATAAAATTCTTATCACCCCTGTTGTCACAGAATACCTCCTTACTCATTCAACTTAAAATATATCCTATAGAATTTTCCGTGTAAGTACATAGAAAGTTCCCTCATTAAAAAAAAATTTTTGGCTAGGCACAGTGGATCATGCTGAGGCTGAGGCAAGTGGATCACGAGATCAAGAAATCGAGACCATCCTAGCCAACATGATGAAACCCCATCTCTACTAAAAACACAAAAATTAGCCGGGTGTGGTGGCATGTGCCTGTAGTCCCAGCTACTCTGGAGGCTGAGGCAGGAGAATCACTTGACAGTAGGAGATGGGTCTAACCAAAATGCACAGGCTTTGAAGCGAGATAGAGCCGACTTCAAATAACCATTCTGTCACTTATTGGTTGTATGGCCCTTAGGCAAGTTACTTAACTTCCCCCAGTGTCAGTTACCTTATCAATAAAATGGGAATGTAACTACTACACCACAGGTTACAGTCAGAATCATGTGTGGTGATACGAGAAAGTACAAAAGATTACTTTAATCTTAGGAAATGTAAAATAGATCTGCAGCAACTCATCATAGCCTTGACCTTATTCATAAGCTTGGTTAATGGAACAAGGTGAGAATCTACCTGACTATAAAATTTAGTTGGAGCTAAATGACAGAGACCTTGTAAGAAACACTGTTGCCCTTGGCTGCTTCAATTAACAGAATTATCTTCTCAGCCTTGGGCTGATTCACCAGTTCATTAAAAAGCCAGAGACTCTTTCAAGTACTAATCTCTATACCCAGACCCAATACTTCACCAAAATATCTGGATTGCCCACATAAGGTGAGGAACCAGTTTGTGAATTTGCCATTCTTATTTTTTTTTTATTGTACAAAAAGGATATGAAAACTTTGGGTTGTTTTGTTTGCATTTCTTTGTCCACGGAATACATTTCCAACTCTAAGGGGAAGTAGTTGCAGGTGACTTTACTGCCATTTGTGTAACTACAATGGCAAATCATCAGCAGCATATTCTATTTGTAGGCCTTTTCCTGGCCTACAAGTAGAGAATGAAACACAGCTTCTACTGGTAGAGGCATTCAAAATTTATTCATTCACTCACCTAACAAAAACTTTCCAAATCCCTACTGTGTGTCAGGGATTGTACTTGGTGTTGAAAATAAATAATAGAATTCCTGTCCTTAAGTAGCTTACAGTTCAACTAAGGGGAAATAAGATATATTGATAGTTACAAAGTGCTTTGGGAGGGAACAGAATGGCTTCACAGAAGAGGCTAAGTTTCTTTTGAGCTTGAGAGACTGATGAGAGGAAGACCATGCCCAGCAGAGTGAACATAACTTGCACGCACAAAGACATTCTACACTAGCAGGCTTGAATTCAGAGTTCCACTGGGCCACTAGGTGCAGAGGAGGCTGGAGGATTTGGTTGAAGCTATCAGCAGTATGGTCTTCATTCTGCTCAATGGAAAACTTTAAGTTCAATGGAGGAACCATTAAATGTTTTAAAGCAATGTCAGGAGATAATCAGATTTACTTTTTTTTTGAAAGATCTTCTGGTAGTCCTATGAAAGATACTTTGGGGAAGTGGTAATAGAAAAACCAGTTAGGAGGGTAGTGTAGTGAAAGAGAATGTGGTCCTCATGGAATATCTAGGATTTCCATGAATGAAATTATCTTGTTTGGTAAATGGGGTAATGTCTGAGAACTATTTATCAACTGAAAATCAAGAGGGAAATCAGCAAGAAAATCGATGTGTTTAGCATTATTTCAGTCAAAATCCCAGCAGAATTTTTGTAGGTATCAACAAGTTGATTCAAAAAAATTGGGAGAAAGGTAAAGCAACTAGAAAGTTAAAGAAACAGCCAAGCAAATTTGAAAAAGGACAAAGTTGGAATATTGTACTCCCCGATTTCAAGTTTATTGAAGACTTCAAATCCTTTTCTCTAACTTTGTAATCACTTAGCTTCTTATATGGTTTGCCAGACCGTGGATAGGGGAAAACAAACAAAAAACACTAATCAATTTGATTCCTTGACTGCAGCTTAACATGGAGATGTGAGGAGGTGAAAACTCTCATTACACAGAAGCACGTGGATATCTTTGGAATGCATGCACGTATCACTCGTCTCTTAATTCCACTATAAATGAGAGGTCATTGTAAGATAAAACATACATAATGAAAATAATTGGCTTTTTGCACGAATGCTTTAAAATACATTTTCGTTTCCTATTAAAAGCTTTATTTGGTCTCTTCCTCTGAATAATGTAAGCAGTACTCATTTCTCCTTCATCGGATCAGCTCAAAGCTTGATGAATATGGCTGTGGTTTGATGGGCAGTCTCTCCATCTCACGTTGAGGCTCCGCTATGGAAAGGATTAGAATAGCAAGATGAATAGTCAGGCTAAGTAAATGAGAACTCATCTCAGATCTGATTGCGTTTGGGAGGGCTGAAGTGATTCTTGGCTGCACCCTCAGGTAGAAGAGAGAATTGCATTTTAATTGCCCTGGCAAGGATAACAGGTGTTCTGTCCAGCCACCCAAACTCAAAGCCGCATCGTCCTTGCCCTATAGAAGGCTTTCCCTTAAGTGAGAATTCATATTCTTAAAGCAAAACAACTCAGAAGCGCCGGCCTGGTGATGCACGCCTGTAATTCTAGCAGTTTGGGAGGCTGAGGCGGGCGGATGGCTTGAGCTCAGGGTCAAGACCAGCCTGAGCGATATGGTGATAACCCCGTCTCCACGAAAAAATACAAAAATTAGCCAGGCGTAGTGACGCGCCCCTGTGGCCCAGCTACTGGGGAGGCTGAGATGGGAGGATCGCTTGAGCTCGGGAGGTCGAGGCGGCAGTGAGCCAAGATACACCACTGTAATCCAGCCTGGGCGACAGATCAAGACGCTATCTCAAAAAAGCAAAGCACCATAAAAAGGAAGGGTAGTTCATGCTTTTTTTCGTTTCATAGCTACAGATTTACAAATACCTATTAACTTGTCGACAGGGCAAGAAATAATTTATGCTGAAGAGACAAAAGACCAGAAATCAGATTTCTGTGTTTTACTCTCCATGTGGCCATCATGGACGAGGACGAAGAAGGTCTTGGTTTCTCCTGTAACGAGAATGTTTCAGTTCTGAATTTTTAACCAATTTTTATGCTTGTTAACAAAATCTGCTTTTTTTCTATCTTTCGGAAATGACTTGATCCTTAGTCCTCCTCCATGTAAAAAAGCTGCCTAGGCTTGGACTCTGCAGCAGCGTATGTGTTTACCAAGATTAGCTGAACACCGCAAGTTCACCAGGCAGACATAAGTCACTGTGAGGTATATAGCACAGGACCTCCCGGCGGGCAGCGGCCGGAAACTACATATCCCGGCGTGCCCCACTCGCGAGCACAGTGGAGCCTGTCGTCATTAGGTTCACGGCGCTGCGCGTTCCCTGAGCGCCGCCGGATGCCGGCCTGGGTGCAGCACAGGGCGGAGGGCTCTCCTGGACCGGGAAAACTGCAGTTCCCGGCATGCTCTGCCACGGGTGCGCCTGCGTATGGGAGCTACTGCCCCTAGGAGCGGGTTGGTTTAAAACGCTCTCTTAGTTCCATGGAAACCCGGTAGCCTGCCTCAGTACGGAACCTCAGGCGCACGGATGGACTGTGGGGTGAGGCTGCCAGGCCCTGGGCGGGTGAGCAGCGGTCGGAGACCCGTGGGGGAGAGGCGTCGGCTTAGATAGTGACAGGCACGGCTACCTGCCCCCTTCTTCCTGTCCTGACCGAGTCCACTTTCGCTCCTTGGACCTCAGGGCCCTGACCTAAGGAGCTTCGGCGTTGAATGCAGGTGAAAGCCATTTAGGAGGGAAGTTTGCATTGACCTGGCCCCAGCTGAGGGATGGGAGATAGCCACCGAGGCCTCCAGATAAGCCCAATACCACCTTTATTTATATGTTAAATAGGAGGTTAATAGGTTCCTGAGAAGGCTATTTCGGCGTTAATGTTTGATTTTTTTTGCCACTAGTTATCCTCCCTGGCTTGTTTACCAGAATATAGGTGTCAGGAATTTGCACTTGTTGTTTACGCAGTACCTGGCGCTTTTGCTAGAACGGAATAAACATTCGTTAAATTCCTGTTGAAGTATCTCCTGTTTATTTACTACCCATAATTTCCCAGGCACTGTGCTAGGCTCTAAAGGTAGAAAAATGTGTATCTTGACCCCACTTTGGAGAAGTTTGTATTAATCCGTCGTAAACGCCCCACACACGTGCTTCTAATTAGTTAATCTTGGCGTGCTCGGGAGTACGCCTTTAATCCTTTCTGTTCTCTGTTATCCTGCCTTAAGGTTTTATTAGCTTTTAAGAATTTATTTCTCCAGTCCACACCTCGTCCCCGAACTTAAGATCCACAAATTCAGTCGTGTATTGGGTATCTTTCATGTTTTAAATTTGACAGTTTATAAACTACCCTCTATCTTTTCCACAGAACGGGTTCTTCCTTAGTAAGTTTCCATTGTCTCAATGATAGCACCATCCAGGCCAAAAAACTTATTTTAATCTTGGCTTGTTATTTTAATCTCATATCTCATATCTAATCCATCAGCAAAAGCTATCTTTCAAGTACATCTAGCCACTAACCACTTCTTAAAATAGGAATACCACTGCTGTCACCCTGGTTCTGGCCAGCAGCATCTCTGCTTCTCTTGTTCTTCCACCATGTGGAGTGGAAGGGAGTCAAAGTGATCCAGTTAAAAGGAAAGTTAGACAGCACTCTTCAGCTATAGACCTCCGGTGGCTCTGAGAATCACTGAAAGTAAAAGCCAGACTTTTACAATGGCCTTCAAGGCCCTGTGTATTCTCTTTTTATTATTACCTTCTGACGTCATCTCTCTCCATATTCTGTGTTACTCCTTCCTCTCCAGCCAAATTCACCTCTATTTTGTGTGGACTCATCAGACCTTCTAACTTCAGGCCTTTGCACTTGCTGTTTGAGTCTTCTGGAACTTTCTGTCCTCTGATATCTATATAGCAGGTCTTTGCTCAAATGTCATGAGGCTTTCTTAGACCACCCTATTTAAAATGAAAACCTACCCTGCAGCCTCCATCCCATGTTCTTTCCTATTTCATTTTTCTCTAGTACTTATCACAAACAAACAATGTATCTTATTTACTGTCTGTCTTCTTCAACTGGAATATAAGCTCCATGAAGGCTGCGAGTTTTGTTGGTACTGCTCTACCCCGCCCCCATCCCTCCCCATTGCCTATAATAGTATCTGGTCCATGGTAAATGTTCAGGAAATATTTGTTAGATGTCTGAGTGAATGAAGACATTGTTACCAAATTATTTTGGTGGTTGTGATAAACAACCTTGATTCCCTGGACTGTTATTTTGGAACCAACAGCATATACTTGGATATGCTCTTGCCAGTGTGCACCTATTGCCAGGTGTAGGAATGGAGTCTGTGTCCACAGAAGCAAGTGTTTTCAAAGTCTTCTGGCTTGTACTAGTATATTACTTGTGACATTGGTCTCTTTTTTTGGCCATGCTTTCTGTAAGATTACCTGCCTAGAAGCTCTTTGGAAATATTCTCCCTAAACATTAAGACAAAATTCTATTAGTTTGATTTTGATATTGCATAGAAATTAGTTATGAATGAACTTTTTAAAAAAATAAAAGATTTTATCTTAGTTTTTTTTTTTAATTACTGTTACTATTAAGCATTCATTAGGACTTAGGTTCAAGGTAGCAGTCAATATTTGCTTCTTTTCAAACCCAACAAAGCACAGATTTGTTAAAGCTGTTGTCTCTGCTAGAATGTCAGCCATTCTTTTCGTGTAAGACTGTGCTTCTTAGACTATGAGCTATAGAACTGTGACTTATGAGGATCTGCCAAGTGGCCAACAGAGAGAGAGTGTGTGAGTGTGAGTGTGTGTGTGTGTGTGTGTGTGCATGCGCACGTGTGTATATGTATGTATGTATGTATGTATGGGGATGGGTGGCATTTCTGCTATCCCTGTTTTGGGCCTACCAGATGGGGAGGACAGGCAAGGGTATGAGTAATTGCAGTGAAAATGAGAATCTCTCCCGAACTTTAAGCCCCAACTTGGTAGATTCATTTACTGGATTGAAGTTCTTATCTCTACTTTAACAGCCTCCCAGATACTTGGGGACTCTGCCTAGTGGCTTTAAGGCTGTCCTCTTGCTACTCAGCCATCATTGCTCCCTTGCTTCCAAGGACTCTCCTGACCTTGGCACTGTTTGGTTTTTGTTTTTGTTTTCCTGTGGTAGAGGGTGGAGATGGTGGTTGGAAGGAAGGATTTTCAGCTAACCCTGAGACTTGTTTTTTATTTTTGTTTTGTTTTTTTTTGAGACCGAGTCTCGCACTGTTGCTGGGGCTGGAGTGCAATGGTGTGATCTTGGCTCACTGCAACCTCTGCCTCCTGGGTTCAAGTGATTCTCCTGTTTCAGTCTCCTGAGTAGCTGGGATTACAAGTTCCTACCACTATGCCTGGCTAATTTTTTGTACTTTTAATAAAGACAGGGTTTCACTATGTTGGCCGGGCTGGTCTCAAGCTCCTGACCTCGTGATCTGCCTGCCTCGGCCTCACAAAGTGTTGGGATTATAGGCGTGAGACACCGAACCCAGCCAGACTTGTTTTATTTCTATTTTTTTAGAGACAAGGTCTTGCTTTGTTACCCAGGCAGTGGCACACTCAGCTCACTGTAGCGAGAAGCTCAGTCTTTCCATAGCCCCCACCATGCTTCTTGTTCCCTTCACTCCTGCCACCAGTCCTCCACTTTATGAATTCCTGCCCTGGGTCCTGGGACCACCTTCAGCAACTTGAACATTTGGTTGACCCCCCTTTCACTTCCAGGAAGGTCAGAGTAAGGGAGATACCTGATTATATAGCAAGTGGGTAGAAAGGTATACTCCTGATATCCCTGATTGGCCCCTTGTGAACACGTTCCCACAGGAACACTAATGTTAGAGATGGCTAAGGTTTATAGCATGATTGGTATAGAAATGTCTGTACAGGATGGAGTTACAAGAAAATGTTTTTCAAATTTTCACCAATTACCTTGTCATTGAACATGGTTCATTTACACGTAGGGACTACATAAAAGCTAATTCTGCTTCTGTCACTAATGTCTTGAAAGAGTATTTTTACTATTCTCATTTATTTTCATTGGGTTTTGGGGGAAGGTCTGTGGAAATTTGATGTCAATAGCTGTAGAAAGGTCTTTGCTCATGCTTTAAGTTAAAGATACATATTTTTTTAAATTGCTGCTTCAATTTAGTATATATAGTATATATAGTTGGCAAATAATTTATTTTATGACAGCTGTACAGAGGTCCAAGTATATGTTTTTCAAGAAGGTTGGATGGTAATAATGTTATGATGAAAATGGCTAGTAATAAAAGCCATTCCCTCAGCAAGTCCTAGGTCCTCGTGTGTGACTAATAGTGACAAATAGGATAGGCTAAATTATGATGAAATAAACTATTCAAAAATCTCAATGGCTTACAACAACATAGGTATATTATATGTCAGGACATCTACACTGTATATCACGCATGGGTTGTGGGTCTGTTTGATGTCATCGTCACCTTGGGACCCTAGCTCATAGAGAAAATCTTACCTGGGATATTTCTCTTCTCATAGAGGAGGGAAAAGAGAGAGATGGTGAAGAACAAGCTGGCTCTTCTAACTTCCACCTACATTTAATTGGCCAAAGCAGGACACATGACCATTCCTGAGTTCAATAGGACAGTGATGCATAACCCTAACACAGGAATGGCAGTGATTAATTTTGAACAATAACAGGACCTACGACACTAATATTGTGACTATATTCTTAGGTATGTATGGAAACTACAGTGTCCAGATCAGTCCTTTCTCCAACCCACATCAGTGCTACAGCTTCTGAAACATTCACCATACTTCAGCAGAGGATGAGAATAGTTGAGGAACAAACCAGTTCACTGAGGGATGACCTAATAATATTGGACTTTTGTGAAGAAAGGTAACAAATAAAAATGAACTAGATCTCTGTAGGTTGAAGAATTTTGCTTTATTGCCTATTAAGTCACAGTAGTTTGGCAGATGAGATGGATATTTGCAAAATAACTGAGAAATAATTTTCACTGGAGCATTACTTAGAAAACATTTGCAAAATGAAGAGTTGTCATTCTGTGATTGAGCTAGAGCTACTATCACTTTTCCCCTAAACAGATATTTAAAGTGTACAAACTTAAATATCAGTGTACAAACTTTGGTATTCTGTTCACTTGATTAAAAACAAAACATGTAAGGCCGGGCATGGTGGCTCAAGCCTGTAATCCCAGCACTTTGGGAGGCTGAGGTGGGTGGATCACGAGGTCAAGAGATTGAAACCATCCTGGTCAACATGGTGAAACTCTGTCTCTACTAAAAATACAAAAAAGTAGCTGGGCATGGTGGCGCATGCCTGTAATCCCAGCTACTCAGGAGGCTGAGGCAGGAGAATTGCCTGAACCCAGGAAGTGGAGGTTGTGGTGAGCCAAGATTGCACCATTGCACTCCAGCCTGGGCAACAAGAGCGAAATTCTGTCTCAAAAAAAAAAAACAAACGTAATGTTTTATGTAATAAATGATTCATTCTTGTTTTAAAATAAAAAGACATATTAAGGTCAAAAGCTAAAATGTTGCTTCATGACATTAATTTGGTCATTTTCTTCTCCCATATTGTAAATTAAGAGAGGTTTTTGAAGTCTTTAAAAATTTTATGATTTAGAATGAGATAAAAAAAATTGTGTTTCCCCTAGTGCTTCTAAACAAGTTATTAAAAGTTGGATTATCAATGGCCTGCAGAATCTCTGGGCTTAAGCAGCCAATTTAGAATTTACTGGTGTGATTTTTTTTTAAAAATTACATATATATTTCCTGAGTGTCTCTCATTCAGGAAAGATATAAAATTAGTATAGTTGGTATTCTAGCACCCATGGAATAAATAACTCCTTAGTAGTTAAAGATTAAATTTGGTACAAATGTTGAGTATGTTAGTTACACAATAGGAATATTTATTATGACTTTAAACATTTTCTAAAAGCATGAATATATTGCCTCCATGTTAACTTTAATAGTTCACTCTAATAGAATTAATATTTAACATTTAATGCATATAATATGTGCCCATAAAATATACATATATGTGTACATATTTTATATGCATGTATTATGCACCTAATGTACTTTAAATAATATATTTTATGTATCACTTGTTTATACATTAAAAAAGTTTTATGAAAAATTCATATAAAAATAAACAACAATTAAAAAGTCAGTGGCCCTCATTTATTCCACATTGGTCTGGTGTTTACCTAATAGCAATCTCTATATTTAAATTTGGAGTGGTTAATAAATGCTTGTTAATGAAAGAATCTATTCTTTTTTCTTTTTGTATGTTTTTAATTGGTAAATAATTGTACATATTTATGGGGTAAAATGTGATTTTATGATACATGGATGCATTGTAGAATGATTGAATCAGGCTAATTAACATATCCATCACCTCACATACTTATTTCTTTGTGGTAAAGAGATTTAAAATTACTCTTAACAATTTTGAAATATGCAATACATTATTATTAATTATAGTCAATGTACTTTGCGGTGGATTGCTAGAACTTATATCCTCTTAAGCTGGAGCTTTGTATTCTGATGAACAATCTCTTCTTTCCCTGTCCACCTCCTCACTTCCACCCAGCCTCTGGTAACTACTGTTCTACAGCCTTTACCATTCTACTTCTATGGGTTTGACTTTTTAAGATTTATGTATAAGCAAAATCATGCATATTTGTTTTTTCATGCCTGGTTTATTTCACTTAGCATAATGTCTTCCGAATTCATCCATGTTGTCACAAATGACAAAATTTTCTCATTTTGTAAGGCAGAGTAGTTTTTCATGTTTATAGATGCAGGGTACCACATTTTCTTCATCTATTGATGGGGATTTATGTTGTGTCTATATCTTGGCTGTTGTGAATAGCGCTACAGTGAACACAGGAGTGCAGATATCCCTTTAACATACTGGTTTCAGTTCCTTAGGATATGTACCCAGAAGTGGGATTACTGGATCATATGGCAGTTCTACTTTTAGTTTTTTGAGGAACCTCCATACTGTTTTCCAAAATGATGATACTAATTTACATTCCCATCAACTATATACAACTATGTACAGTTCTCTCTTCTCAATACCCTTGCGAACTTTGTTATCTTTTATCTTTTTGTTAATAGCCATTCTAACAGATGTGAGGTTTTCTCACCATGTTTTTAATTTGTATTTCCCTGATGATTTGTGATGTTGAGTATTTTTTTTCCGTATATCTATTGGCCATTTGTATGTCTTCATTTGAGAAATGTCTATTCTGGTTTTTTTCCCATTTAAAAAAATAAGCTTATTTTCTTGTTATTGAGTAGGTTGAGTTTCTTGTATATTTTGAATATTAGCCCTTTATCAGATGTATGATTTGCAAATATCTTCTCCCAAACTGTGAGTTGTCTGTTCACTCTGTAATTGTTTCCATTGCTGTGCAGAAGCCTTTTAGTTGGATCCATTCCTATTTGTCTATTTTTGCTTTTGTTGCCTGTGCTTTGGGAGTCATATCCAAGAAATTGTTGCTGAGACCAATGTCAAAGAGGTTTTCCCTTATGTTTTCTTCTAGTAGTTTTAGCTTCAGGTTTTATGTTTTATATCTGTCTTTAATCCATTCTCAGTTGATTCTGGTATAGGGGGTAAAATAAGGGTCCAATTTCATTCTTCTATATGTGCATAGTTTTCCTAATACATTATTGAAGAGACTGTCCTTTCCCCATTGTGTATTCTTGGCATCTTTGTTGACAATCAAGTGATCATAAATGCCTGGGTTTATTTCTGAGCTATTCTATTTCATTGGACAGTGAGCCTTTTTATGCTGCTACTATGCTCTTTTTATACTATATCTTTGTAATCTATTTGGAATTAGCTAATGTGATGCCTCCACCTTTGTTCTTTTGCTCAAGATTGCTTTGGCTATTTCAGGGGTCTTTTGTGGTTCCATATGAATTTTCAGGTTTTTCTATTTCTATGAAGGATGACATTGGGATTTTAATAGTGATTGCACTGAATCTGTAGATGGCTTTGGGTAGTATGGACATTTTAACAGTACTCATTCTTCTAATCCATGAACCTCGGATGTCATTCCATTTACAGTCATGTGGCACATAAGGACATTTCAGTCGGTGACAGACTGTATGGTGGTCCCATAAGGTTGTAATGGAGCTAATAAATTCCTATCGTCTGGTGATGTCATAGCCATGGAAGTGTTGCAGTGCAAGGCATCACCTTTTCTGTGTTTAGATATACAAATACTTACCATTGTGTTACAGTTGCCTACAGTATTCAGTGCAGTAACACGCTATACTGGTTTATAGCCTAGGAGATATACCCTAGGTATGGAGTGGGCTATACCATCTATGTTTATGTAAAAATACTCTATGATGTTTGTACAACGACGAAATCGCCTTACAACACATATCCCAGAATGTATCCCTGTCATTACATAACTCATTACTGTATTTATGTCATCCTCAATTTGTTTAGTCAGTCTTTTAAGAGTTTTTATTGTATGGATCTTTTTTTTTTTTTTTTTTTTTTTTTTTTGACGGAGTTTCGCTCTTGTTACCCAGCCTGGAGTGCAATGGCGCGATCTCGGCTCACCGCAATCTCTGCCTCCTGGGTTCAGGCAATTCTCCTGCCTCAGCCTCTCGAGCAGCTGGGATTACAGGCACGCACCACCGTACCCAGCTAATTTTTTGTAATTTTAGTAGAGACGGGGTTTCACCATGTTGACCAAGATGGTCTCCATCTGTTGACCTCGTGATCTACCCGACTCAGCCTCCCAAAGTGCTGGGATTACAGGCTTGAGCCACCGCGCCCGGCCTATTGTATGGATCTTTCACCTCCTTGGTGAAACTTATTCCTGAGTATTTTTTTGATGTGATTGTAAATGGGATTATTTTCTTAATTTCTTTTTCAGATAGTTCATTGTTAGTGAATAGAAATGCTACTGGTTATTGTTTGCTGATTTTGTATTCTGCAACTTTACTGAATTAATTTATTCTAGTAGTTTTTTGGTGGAGTCTTCAGGGTTTTCTGTACATAAGATTTTGTTTGTCTTCAGCAAAAAGAGACAGTTTCACTTCTTCCTTTCCTGTTTGGATGTCTTTTATTTCTTTTTCCTTTCTGATTGCTTTGGCTATGACTTACCACAGTAAACTGAATAGAAGTGGTGAGAGCGGGCATCCTTATCTCAGTCCTGATCAGAATCTTTCAACTTCTCACCATTGAGCATGATGTTACCTGTAGGCTTATCACATCTGATCTTTATTAGGTTGAGGTACATTCCTTCAATACCTAATTTCGTGAAAGGTTTTATTATGAAACATTGTTGAATTTTGTTAAATGCTTTCTCTTCATCTATTGAGATGATTATATAATTTTTATCCTTCATTCTTTTAATACAGTGGATCACATTTATTGATTTGTGCATGTTGAACTGTTGTTGCATCTCAGGGATGAATCTCATTTGATCATGGTGAATTATTCTTTTACTGTACTGTTGAAAATAGTTCACTAGTGGGGTTTTTTTTTTTTTTTTTTTTTTTTTTACAGAGTCTCACTCTGTCACCCAGGCTGGAGTGTAGTTATGCTATCTTGGCTCACTTCAACCTCTGTCTCCCAGGTTCAAGTGAGTCTCCTGCCTCAGCCTCCTGAGTAGCTGGGATTACAAGCGCATGTCACCATGTGTGGCTAATTTTTGTATTCTTAGTAGAGATGGGGTTTTACCATGTGGGTCAGGGTGGTCTTGAACTCCTCACCTTGTGATCTGCCCTTCTCAGCCTCCCATAGTGCTGGGATTACAGACATGAGCCACTGTGCCCAGCTGCTAGTGTTTTACTCATGATTTTTGCATCTACATTGAGGGATATTGACCTGTAATTTTC